GCACTTATGTTCTGCCTTATATTAGATTTATTTATGTACTTATCTATATCACCTATGAGACCACAAACTCAAAGGCAATAGTGGCTGTTATCCTACTTCACTTTTGTGTACCTACAGCATTCTACGTGTAGTGAGAACTCAATAACTAAATGAAATAATTTAGGTATCTTCTCAACTTCAGTGATTTCCTTTGAGTCTGTGTCAATCATAACTCTACTTCACTCTTAACTGTATCACCAATTCCTACTTTAGTGAAAATACTCCATGCAGTGGAGGAGAAAATAGGAAAGAAGAGGGTATTCTCTTCAGTGAAGTTCATAGGAACATAGATGTGGGATTGGAAGGGAACTCAAGGCCCATCTAGCTCAACCCTCATTTTATGGATGAGAACCTTGAGGCCTTGAGAAGTGAGGTGACACATTAGAAGTGGGATTTGAATCAAAGTTCTCTGATTGCAGGGCCAGGGCTCTTTCCACATCATCTAGAGTAGTCTACTCATCCCCTGCAAGACCTCCCTACCCTCAGCTGAGAGAGTATGGGCACAGAAGCCCTCAGACTGTGATGCCTGGGCTGTTTCTACCATACTTCGCTCCCCTAATCCACTGGGACAACAGGTATGAGTTTGTATGTATGGACCACAGTTTGAACTGGTTTACTGCCCAGTGAAGAATGAAATAGATTCAAATACTTTTTGCTCCCTCTAATAACTCACACTAAAATTTCCTGTTTTATGAGCTTTTTAGAGAAATTTTTATTATCAAGTTATTATTATTTAGTGTAGTATTTTTCCAAGTTTTAAAACATTTGGGTAAAAATGCTTTTCAAAATATATTCTGGAAGGTGGTGCACCATAGATGCTGGAAGTGTTAGGATGCAGTGCAGTGAGCTCTATTCCACAAACTTTTCCAAACAGATCTAGAAAATGAACTAGACTGAATCCTGACGGAGAAATTCAGAGGCATGATGAGTCTGATACATGAACAATGACAAAGAACTATACAAGGATAAATTTGCTACATTCAAACATGGGAAGATGATACACAAATATGTCTCTCTGAACCCGGTCATCATTAGGGTTTATAGAGGGAATCCAATAAGACAAGGCCTGAGAACGGTTCTGTTATGTCTTGATGATCTTAAGGAGATAATAGAATGAGAGGGGAAGAGGAACGCACTGGGGACTGGAAGAAGGAAAAGGAAAGTTAGGGAAAATTATTTCATATAATCAGAGGGCACAAGTAGACACCTATGCAAACAATGAAGAAGAGTTGTGAAGGAGGAGCATAATGACCAACCAGGATTCCAGACGATTAATGGTGAAACCTGCTAGACACTGACAGAAAAACTCTGGAAAGAAAAACGAAGGACTCAGAATGTAGACAAATATTTCCAGGACATGGCCAATGTGGAAATTTGTTTTGATTAACTATTGTAATGAGTTTTGTTCTTGTATTCTCAATTGTTAAGAACAATGGGTGGGGGTTGAGTGACAAGGTAGATCTTGGCTGATTCAAACAAGTAACATTTTTAAAAAAATTCTGACTTGTCAAATTTCAAATCACTCTATGTAGACAAAATGCCAGTATATTCACAGGCTAAGGGATAAGTGTGAATTCTGGTCCACAAAAGGTAGAATCTATTTCCTCTTTTCAGTACACCTTCTAAAACATGGAATTGCTTATGCTACTACCACCTTTGCTACTTCACTTCTTGCGGGTTTTCAGCTAAAGCACAAGAATGACAAAGTATTTACTGCTAGGCACAATCATCTATATCAGGTCTAAAAATGATTTTTTGTTCTCCTGAAGTGCATGTGAATAAAAATGAACTTGGGTTGTGTGGTGCAGTGTGTGATACATGGAGGTGACGTGAGAAGGAAAGAGATGATGAAAAATGGACTTGTAAGCATCTGACTTAACACTCTTAGTTTGGTATCCAGTATTAGCCAATATAAAAAGGTGGCAATCCTTTAACAATTTCCAGTTGTATCCTTTGATTACAAAAACAGACTTTGTGCTATTCTAGAATTTAATTTTATTTGTCCCATTTTAAGTTATTTATGATCTCTCTCATCTAGGATTTCTCCCATAGTTTTAGTATCACTAGCCTGTATTTAGAGACCATCTTGTATAATATTTTGAATTTGGATAACGATTTAACAAGTCAAATAATGGAGTCAGAGAAATAACAGTGGGGCCATAGAACTGAATGAAAATGAAATTGTGACACAGTTGAACACAAGACAATATCTTCTGAAGGCAAAGCCAAATAGCTCTTTAATTGGAGCTTCTGATTTTTTAGCCTTTTAAGAGTAAAAGCCTACTTTTCATAATTTCAGAAAAAAATTCTTACATCCAAGTTTCCCTTATCTACCCTCTTACAGATGAAGGAGAAAGAAACCCAACATCATTACATTATGTTTAAATACACAATAAAATACCCAGAAGTCACAAGCATGAAAAGAAAAGTGTTTACTCCTGGCAGGCAGTATGACCTCAAATAACAAGCCCCAAAACATCTTTCTCTTCTGTATTCTCTTACCGTACCATGTATTTCTTTTTTTATCCAATTACCTGACTCTTCCACATGGCACTGGTAATTCTTCTTTAAAAACTACCTCCTGAGCAGAAGATGGAACCACTTACAAATAAACCTATTAAAAGATAGCTCTCACAACAGGGATGGGACTAAGTTGTGCACAAAAGGGGCAGTGTGAGCTACTTTCTAGGGTCAGAGAAATGGCACTCCCTATTAGCTCATCTAGAACTACTATAATTTACCTTTTAGCTTGCAAAGGGCCCCAGCAATTATTTAAAAGGAAAACAATAATATAAACCTGAACTTGAGGCAGAACATAGTACAGCTGTATAATTTTTTTTAGCTGTATAATTCCAAAACACTGTTAGAAAAATTTTAAGACCAAGTCAGCTAACTGCACATTAGAAATTACCGAATTAAACCTTCTAAAATAGCTTAAATGTTCATTTTTTAGATAGAAAAAGGAAACTGAGGAATACAGGGAAGTAAACCAAGGTCACCAAGGGCTTGAACTGGTCAATTCTCAAGTTGACAGACTATCTAGATTACTTGGGTTTTCCTATGGACTTAGACGCTCCACCCCCCATTCCTCATAGGAAAGTTGGCTAGATTCTAATTCCAGGAAGCGATATGTAACCCTTGATAGGGTCGGGGATAATTCAGGAATGTGTTGATCTCTCTCATTAATTTTTTAAAAATATATATTCTATACTTTAACAAATCTTGTAACTCCTATGGGAATTTTATTCTTTCCCTCTAGGTTGTTAGTGTCTCCCTCCTGGAAATTATTTTGTATCTATTTTGAATCTAATTTTCTATATACAGGTTGTTTTTCACAATAGACCATAAACTCCTGGAGGACAGGAACTGCTTTATTCTTAATACTTTTTTGGGGGGCGAGGCAATGGGGTTAAGTGACTTGCCCAGGGTCACACAGCTAGTAAGTACCAAGTATGTGAGGCTGGATTTGAACTCAGGTCCTCCTGACTCTAGGGCCAGTGCTCTATTCACTGTGCCACCTAGCTTCCCCTGGAACTGCTTTATTTATGACTTCATATGACCATTTTCTAGCACATAATTGACATTTAGTAATTGCTTTTTGAAAGAATTTGTGATGTCCAAAAAAGGGACAGAGGACTTCAAACAGGATGGGTATACTGGGACAAAGCAATCACTTCAATTTCCAGGACTGCAGAGATAATATACAAAGAGTTACAAATGACCTCTACAACCCCATCCATTCAGTCATTCATTCACTCACATCTCATTTTCAGGCAGCTGAAGTGGGTAGGAGAATAATTAATTAAACAACTTTAAAATTTCATAGCTTCCCTAAAAACACTAGGAAACTATAAGTGAAATTTCCTTTCACATACACAAAAACACAAGTGGTAAAAAGAAAATAGGGTAGGTAAAATACTGTTTTCCTTAGAATACAATACGCTGAGCAGAGCCTATTGAAAATATAAGGGAGAAGATATTTAACCCCACTTATTTTTAATGTCAGATAATTGCCATTCTTCTCAAATGCCTAATGTATACTGAAAAAGTCAAAAGCATTTTGAAGAATACATGGTTCTATTATTTCCTTATGTATTTTTAAAAGAATATTGTTCAAAATGAGACCACAGGTTAACAAAAATGATAGCGCTACAGAATTTATGCTCAGCACAAACTTTTAAATTAGCTTCACTATGTTCAAACAAACCAAAGAAGACAAAAGAAGAAAAAATTGCTAAAACGAACAATGAAATAGCTAAAGTACACCATTTAAAGTACAGAATCCAGGGACAGTAACAGAATTTATGACACCAGCAAAAAGCAACATCTTAAAACAGATAGTTTTATTCAAATGTATCTTATAGGAGACTTTCTATGTGATTAATGGAGGAAGAGAGACAAGTAGTAAAGAATCCTCATCTAAAAAAAGTATCTAATAAGCAGCTTTCTTTTCTGTATGTGGACGTGCTCTGCAGTTGCAGTGTAAGACTTCCACACAACGCTGGCTCAAAATTAAAATTCTGGGCAGGCATTCAACTTTCTTTGCTGAGCATGGGAAATGAGTGCTTGCAAATTATTTATTGAAGATATTCCCATAGTACTCTTCCTAGTTCATTTCCAAAAGAGGCCCTGTTCTTGTAAACTATTTGAGTAAGTGAAAGCTGTACCATGTTTCTTGCATTACATCTTAGAACTTTCAGCGATGTAACAAAATCATATTTTTTTAAACAGGCTTTTTTTAAGGCCAGGCCACAGCAATTTTCCAAAGGTGAATTTTAAGCAACAGAACAATAGGCCAAACAATTTTCACAAATAAAAACCTCAATCCCAGAATGATTGATGAGTTCATGTGAAAAGACGTTAAATGCAGAATAACCATACAGCATTTATTTTAATTACAGCTTCCCAAATGTCTGGCACAAATGATGATAGCGCAACCCAAATCAGGTAAAAGTGGTTACCTCTGTGGTCTTGTTTGAAGGTTCCAGTCCAACCATATTTACTACTATTAACTGATGGAGGAGCTGAACTTGAGCCACACTTAGGAAGAAATCCAGACTTGTGGTTATGTTCACTTCCAAGGAATGGCCACACACTAAAATCTCCTGTGGGAGAAGAAGTCAAATACCAGATAAAATAGACAGGGCAGAGAACTTACATTGCAAGATAACAAGATTATCATTATTTCTTATCTGTCATTTATTAGCTTGATGAAAAGTCAACTGAGACCACAATTTATTTATCAAGTGGAGAAGGAGAAAGTCATTTACATTTACACATGATGGGAGGGAGAGGGAAGGAAGAAATTCCAGAATGCTGGCTAAAATGTAGATAATGTACATTCAACTAATAAGAAATTATTTTCATATGCAAAGTCCCCTTCTGCTTTCTCATATTTAAAACTACTATTACTGGATTTTTCACCTTACTGCCCAGGAAACAGAATGGGATTTTGTAGCAAACTTTCCTTCAAAGGAAAGACTCCACATGACTTATAATGAAATGCTGCGTTGAAGCCAAAGATAGCTAGGCTAATTAATTTCATTCTCCTTTAAACTGCTAAGACCTTGGGCGATGCTAGGTGGTCTACTACTAAATCGGTGCAGCACAACATCGCTGAGCTTTTGACCATTCACTGCTGGAAAACAACGCTGAGATGGAAAACAGATAAAGAACAGTTCAGCAGCTCCCCCTTAATAAGCCCAAACAGTGCTTCTTGTCCTGAACTGCAAGTGGATAATATTCAGTTGTCTGCAAGTACACAGCAGACCTTTCTCATAAGTGTCTTCCAATTGATTATATTCAAGGATATAATGATGGGCCAAAGCACCAATTAGAAAAGTCGAAGCAGTCTGTTTTGTTACAATTCTCAAGAAGTGCATGAGTGACATGATTATACTTTTGCTTCTACCTCCTCCCAGTATAACTCTTTTATACTGATGCAAGAATTACCCACAGTTCTCCCTTTTAGTAAGATCTTTCCTTTCGCTCCTCAGGCAAAGATGATGTTCTACCCAGGGGTGGGAAACCTTTCATTAAAAGGATCTGTTCTGTAAAATTTGGATTCAGTCAAAATGTTGCACTTAAGGATCAAGAAGGCCACATGTGACCTCAAAGCTGCAGGTTCCCCACCCCTGTCCCTGCTAAGATTTTCCAAGAGCACTTTACCTTGATCTTTCCTTGGCTCTGATCATATTTTCTCTAGTTTCATATTTACTTATATACACATCATAACTTCTTATGAGATGGTAAGCTCTTTTATGGACTGCATGATTTTTCATCTTTAAGTCCTCAGTACACAGTGTCTTGCACATAGTAATCACTTAATGTATAAATACTTATGTTAGAAAAGGGTTACGAGATCATAAAAATTTTAGTGCAATTGAACCCACGCAATTATAATTGCCTTTGCCATGGCTTTCTTGGTCCCCCTCTCCAAGTTTTTAGTGCTCATTCACTTTTCAAATATTCCTAGAGCTAGTTTGATATCTCTCTATACTCTCTTTGCTCTCTATCTTGTATTATTTTTGTACACATCATCATTTTCCAATACAATTTAAGTTTCTTTCAGATACAATTTAATTTTTGTCATTTTATCTTCATCAACTGGTTCAGTGTCTTCTGCATAGTAAGCCTTTAATAAATGATAACTGAATTGAATTATAGAATCAGATAAAAAGGAAACTCATACTAACAGTTTCACCAAACCACAGCCACTTTATAAGAGACTTAAATGACATACTATAGTAACTTTTTAAGACACTACAACCCATACTACAGCATTATTGCAATAGAAAAAAAAATGGCATAAGAAGTTGTTAGAGTCCTGCCTTGGTGAATAAATAGTTAAGTGATATTAAGAAACTGATCCTTCCTGTGCCTCAGTTTCCTCATCTATAAAAATGGGCATAATGTCTACCATTTCTCACAAAAGTATGCATAAGGACAAAATGAGATTATATATTTGAAAATGCTTTGAAGAAAACAGAGTTAACAGTTTTCGTTGCTTGTGTAAAAATGTTTTATAAAGAATATTTTTCTATAAAATTTCCATAACAAATTTCACTGATTCTATGAATGATTAATCTGTGATGTAGTCAATAAACATTTGCAGTCTGATTAAATTCAACACACACTTACTAAGTATCTCCTAGACTGTCATTTAACTAGGCATTAGAGATAGCTAAGACATAAATAAGAAAAGTCCCTACCCACAAAAAGTTTATATACTACTGTGGGGGAAGCAACATGTACACTGATAAACAAGTATGTACCAAAAAAACCTAACCAATTTTCATGCAGATTGTAATTTTGGGCATGTTGTTATTTATTCATTTTTCAGTCACTACTGACTCTTCATGACCTTTGTCTGGGTAGTTTTCTTGGAGAAAATACTGGAGTGGCTTGCCATTTCCTTTTCTAGCTCATTTTACAGATGAGGAAACTGGGGGAAACAGAGTTTAAGTGACTTGCCTAGGGTCACACAGACAGTAAGTGTCGAAGGCTAGATTTGAAATCACAAAGATGAGTCTTCCTGACTCTAGACCCAGCGATTTATTCACTGTGCCACCTGGCTGTCTATGCTCATTGACCTAATATCATTTAATTTTAAATTGTATACTAACCTCTGCATGCACATTTTCTGGTGAATTGATTTTGGTGAAAATGATTGCAGGTGCTCCAGTTATTCGGACGGTAAAATCAGTCAAAATTGGAGTTAAAATTGCTCTCCTTTCCTGATGTCGCTGTATACTGAAAGAAAAGTAAATGTAATTAATGTCCATATTACTTTCCACAACTAATTTTCATTAAAGCTACACAAATAATTAACAGTACATATTTATATATCTACATATATCTATATATGTATATAGCCACTGTTGTAAAATCAATCCTTCATTACTGAAGTAATACAGACATTATACCCCCATTTTTCAGACAGAGAAATTAAGGTGCATAGAATGACTCGCCAAGTCACACAACTGGTAAGTGTGGGAGCCAGGATTTGAACTTGGGTTTTCTGAAGTGTTTCTGCAAGTCTCTTTCATCTTTATCATACTGCCCATAGGATAATCCAGTTAAATATACTGAATTCAACATACCCTTTATTAAAAAAAAAAAAAAACCTACATAAAATAATGTGCTAAGCATTAGAGAAGACATAAAGTTTAAAATTAAAACATAGTAAGAGGGAGTGGGTGGAGTCAAGATGGTAGAGTAGAGACACACTAAGCTGAGCTATCCCAAATTCCCCTCCAAACAACTCCAAAATAATGCCTCAAATTTAATTCTGGAGTGGCAAAACCAACAAAAGGTTGGCTGAAACAATGTTCTAGCCCCAGCCAACTTAGGAAGTTGGCATGAATGGTCTGTCTCAGCCACGGGTGGTCAATGCAGACTGTGTAGGCACACACACCTTGGAGATGGCTACATTGGCAGTGGTAGTTTGGGAGCTCTCAGACCATGGACAGTGGGGGAGTGAGACAAATGACTAGAAGGAGATTACAGGGGACCCTTTGCTGGCTCTGGGTTCAGGACCCTATTGCATTGTCCACACAAAATTCTAGGTCATAGTCCCAAGGTCAAAAGGAATGAGAGCACTTACAGCTTCAGGAAAGCAGGGATCCTGGTTGTGGCTCCATGTTGAATAGGAGTGTTTGAGGTCACTCATGGGGGAATAGGGACCCTGATCTCAATTCCAAGACAGAGGGGAGCACTGGCAATTGTGGCTGCCAGAGAATGGAGGACCTAGTCACAGTCTCAGGGCCAGAAGGGGCCCTGACCTTGGGCGATGCTAGGTGGCTACACTGCACTGATGGCTACAGAGAAACATGGTTCCTTCTTAGGTCAAGACTAGAGCACAGGCCAGGAAGCAATGGCCACACCTCTCCTTAGATCATATCAACTTGGAAGCACTGAACCTACAGAGCTACAGAACTAGCTCTGAAAACAGCAGTAAGCAAGACCAGAAGCTTTGTACAGTGCCCCCTCCATTCCAAAAACACAGCCTAACTTTATTATAAAGTTAAAAGTCAAGAAATAATATAGAAAAATGAGCAAACAAAAAAAGAAACTGACCACAGAAAGTTACAATGGTGATAAGGAAAGATCAAGATACTCTGAAGAAGACAATGAAGCCAAACAGCTACACACAAATCCTCAAAGAAAAATGTGAATTGGTCACATGCAAAAAAAAAAAAAATTCCTGGAAGAGCTCAAAAAGGATTTTAAAAATCAAATAAGAGAGGTAGAGAAAGAATTTGGAAAGGAAACGAGAGTGATACAAGAAAATTATGAAAAGACAGTCAACAGCTTGATAAAAGAAGCATAAAAAAATACTGAAGAAAATAACACCTTAAAAATCCAAATTGGCCAAATGGTAAAACAGGCACAAAAATCCACTGAAGAGAAGAACTCCTTAAAAAGCAGAATTGGCCAAATGGAAAAAGAGGTACAAAGGCTCACTGAAATAATTCCTTAAAAATTAGAATTGGGCAAGTGCAAGCTAATGAATCCATGAAACAATAAAATAAAATCAAAAGAATGAAAAAAAATAGAAGAAAATGTGAAGTATCTCATTGGAAAACACAACTGACCTGGAAAATAGATCTAGAAGAGACCATTTAAGAATTATTGGCTGCCTGGAAGTCACGGTCAATAAAAGATATTTCAAAAAATTATCAAGAAAAAATGCTCTGATATCCTAGAACCAGAGGCTAAAATAGAAACTGAAGGAATTCATTGATCATGCCCTAAAAGAGATCCCAAAATGAAAACTCTTAGGAATATTATAGACAAATTACAGAGCTCTCAGGTCAAGAAGAAAAATATCACAAGTAGCCAGAAAGAAATAACTGAAGTATCATGGAACCATGGTCAGGATAATATAAGACATAGCAGCTTCTACCATTAAAGGACTGGAGGGATTAGATGTTCTGTAGGCAGAATATCTAACATGCTCAAAACAAACTTCATTATTTTTCCTTCCAAATTTCCCTTTTTCTGTTGAGTCCATCACCATTCTTCCAGTCATCCCTGACTCTCAACTACAGTATCATCCTCATTTCCATGCTCAAACCACATATCCAGTCATCATTTCTACCTACATATCTCATCATTTCTACCTTCAAATCTCCAATATATATGTATATATATCCCCTTTTAGCTACTCACAAACCAGTATTCTGGTTCATGTCCTAATCATTTCTTACCTGACTATTGCAATAGCTTTCTAATTGGTATCTCTGCCTTGAATCTCTCCTAATTTAGCTTTCACTTATCTAAAAACCTGATTTTCCTAAGCATAAGTCTGATCATGTCACCCTTCCACTCAGTATATACTCCAATGACTCTCTATTACCTACAAATATGAAGTCTTCCATTTGGCATTTAAAGCTCTTCACCATCTGGTCCCTTCATACTTTCCAGTCTCCTGAGACTTTTTTCTCCTCTGTACAGTTTATGGTCCAGCTACACTTGCCTACTTGATGTTCCTTGCAGATGACACTTCATCTTCCTTCTTGTGCCTTTACAATGGCTGTCCTTAAGCTTGGAATATTCTCCCTCCTTGTCCCCAACTATTAGTATCCCTGTCTTCCTTCAAGACTCAAATGAAATGCAACCTTCTATAGGAGGCTTTCTTGGTTCCCTCAGCTCCTAGAGTCTTCTTTTCCAAGACTATCTTGCACTTACACTGTATATGTCTGGCACATGTCTATTTACATGGTAACTTCCTTAATAGAATGTAAGCTCCTTGCTGGTAGGGGCTGTTTTCACCTCCTTCTGTAACCCCAGTGCTTAGCACAGCATCTGCCACATGGTAAGAATTTAATACATTTGTTGACTGACTTACTGTCTAAATAGGTCCTATATTTATAGGGGACTTTCATTCTTACTTGTGATGATTATCATTATTTCATATATCATTATTGCAGGGTAACTGAAGTGCTGACTGGTGTATATGTGCCATGGACATACTGCATTGAAATAGTAGCAAGGCATTTGACAAAAATCTCTTGTGATATTCCAATGAAAAGACAGATAGTTGGTGACTAAGTGACTGTGTGGTTGGGGATGATTCAAATTGGTTGAATAACTGGACTCAAATTGTAGATCTTAAAAGATTAATGTTAATCTCAAATGGAGTGCCACAGGGCTCTATCCACGGTGATGTTTTGTTCAACATATTGATCAATTACTTGGTTGAGCCCGGCAAGCTTACCAAACCTGTGGATGACATAAAGCTAGCTGAAAGGGATAGTTAATATACTGAATGACAGAATCAGGATCCAAAAAGTCTGTGATGGTCATGAAAAGCCAGATTTCATATTTCTATTTACTGTACTTCTGTGTCCCAAGATCAACTACTGAAGTGATTGATATTTTTAAATACACGTCTAAAAAGAATAATGTGTGATTAAGAGTATCTTTCATATTTCACACACATATAAATTCTTCTTTGTAGTGTGTATATCACTCTTCCAAATCCAGAATTTTGATGTTTTGTAATTCAGAAAATTAAAAATATATTTTAAGTATTTTAGAACTATTTGATTCTCTAAATTATAATACATTTTGTGGTCTTGCCTTTGCTCTCCTATATTTTCAGGAGTTGTATATGCTTGCAAATAAATATTAAAATTACAGTAGTCTATGTGCTAGTAAAATTTAAAAAAAAATTACATAGCTATTAGGCCAGCACAATTATTCCACTTTCTGGACAGATATTACATTTGCTCTGCATGCAAATGAACAAAGATGGGTTTAAAAATAATAATAATAATAATAACTATCATTTATCTAATGCTTCATTTGATTCTCACAACAGCCTTATGAAGTGGGTCTTGTTATTATCCTCATTTTATGGATGAGGAAACAGAAGCTGAGAAAGGTAAACTGACTTGCCCAGGTTCACAAAGCTGGTGTCTGAGGCAGCTTAATTAATATTATTAAATAATTAATCTCTCCATGAGAAGCTCATTATGAATGATTTGGAAATGACTTAATGATTTTTAAGCCAGAAAAGTTTGTGAATACAATTTAATAAGACATAGAGGAAGTTTGCAATCTCAATTAGTGGCAGGGGTGTCCATACCAATGAATTTCTGGCTCCTTCAAGTAACTATTTCATGTTGAGATATACTGATCATAGGCTTGAGAATATTCAAAGGAAATGAATGAGAATTGCATGTATAGTTGGCAAGAACAGACCCAAAATCTTTAATAGTTTTAGAAAGAAATTTATTACGTCATTTAGTAAGAGAGGAAGTGGGAAAAGTGAGGCTCCCTCTTGTCCATGCTCTAGAAGGTTTACATTATACAGTATTTAGACAACAGTGGCCCCACACTCACCACACACTTATAGTTAAGCAATTTTGCCAAGAGGGCAACTTGAAAGTAAGGTTGACTGAGATGAATATGAGTAACTGTAAATATCCCATAAAATTTGAGTGAAGCCAAAACACATGGGAATCCAAAACAGTTTTGGGTGGACCCAAAATAAGACCTAGGTGTGGGGACCCAAAACAAAAATGCTTTGGGTGGATACAGGACCTGAGGGAACCCAAAATACCTTATAGCCATGTCCAATATTTCTGGAGAGATCAGGGACATTCTGGGTGTGGACAACCTTTAATCACAGAAGGTTGAATTTAAACAGTGTAATAATTTTTCTGAACAACATAATAAATCATTTTTCCTACATATGCTTTTAAATACTGACTTTTAAAGTTACTTTTTTTAACAAGGGTAAA